ACGAAACGGGAAGAACAGAAACACACAAAGCAACAGGCCACACAGGAGGCAAGGACAGTCCAGGAAGCGAGTTTAATCGGCGTGACACAGACGACACAGAGCAGGGCAGGGAGGAGGCCCAGGCGTGCCAGGGCCCTGTGCACCCAGGCCTCGCTGACCTGGCCCGCGCCACCAGGCCAGAGCCTGCCCCTTCCCCAGGGACACATGCCAGCAGATTTAGACAGGACAGCACCCCACAGAGCGACCCCAGGGGGCTGGGAGGGCAAGCAGGAAAGGAGCAGAACCCCAGCCAGGGAAACTCTCTGTTTTTTGTCTTTGTAGAAGTTACCCAAATTCCTTTCCAGAGCTGTGGCCCCAAGTGGGGGTGCTCCCGGCATCCCAGCAGAGGCATACCCTAGAGCCGCTGCTCTCTGGCACTGAGCTGTCACCTCTGCCAGGGACTTTATGACCTGCAGAGCTGGTCTTCCAAGTGCCCTGTGCCTTCTGAGGGGTGGAGACTGAGACCCAGGACTGGGAGTCAGCCAGCTGAGGGGCTGCAGGGGCTCCAGAGCCAGCCCTCAAAGCTGCCTCTGTGGGTGGGACCTGGGGGCTTAAGGGGCCAGAGGATCCCTGGGACCTTGGACTGCTGCAAAGACACAGGAAAAGCAGAGGCCCGGGAAGGCTGAGGGGGAGTCCGTGTTCACCCCAGCCCTGCGGAGTAGGCTGGAGTAGGCAGGTTCTGCAGCTAGATGCCAAGACAGAAGATGGGACCAGCTGTTTATTCAACAAAGGCTTTTTATTCATTCAAAAATTAACCATCGGGTTTATTCCGCAAATATTTAAAAAAAAAACAAAAACGGGGGGAGGAGTGGAGGGCAGGGCTTGCCCTCACAGTGCCCTTACGCTGATTCACTTGCTACCTCCAGGCCAAGAATGTGGGACTGGGGCCTCGTGGACTCACAGCCGCCTCCCCCTTGGCCACCAGTCGGCGGGGGGTGTAGGCCCAGATGCCTTCCCGCTCACCACCAGGGGGCGCTCCTTGCTTCCTACGTCCAAATGCGGACATGGGCGGGCAGCTTTCTCCGGGCCGGCAGCGGGGGCTTTTCTCCAGGGAGAGGCTGCCTCTCCTGGGAGGTCCTTGGACATCTGGACCTCCCCACGCAGAGCCCCCAGAATCCAAGAGGAGAAGCTGTGTCCCCAAGAGCATGGGTGCACCTGCTGAGCTGGCTGTCACACTGAGGAGCACTCCAGGAAAGAGACCGCGATGAGGATGACACTCACGTTTCCTGCGTTATTTTCAACACTGCCCAGTTAAATATTGGAAAATCGTGACATTCTCCTAAGTCACCAGCACACAGAGTGGGGGACAGACGCGATGAGGAAGCAGCCAGGCCAAGGCGGGCTGGCAGCCCCAGGTGGCCCTGGCCCTGGCTCGGTGGGGGTGGGGTCCACAGGGGACCAAGGCCTGGCCTTGGAGCTGGGATCCCCAGAAAGCAGCATCCGATGGTGCTGGGGGTGTCAGGGAGAGGCCCAGGGCTGCCCAGGAGGGCTCCGGCTTGGATTCTGGGGGTGCCGCAGCTGGATGCCGGGGGGAGGAGGGGACAGAGGCCGGGCCCTGCCTGGCACCCTCAAACAAAACTGGTCAGTGTCCAGCACCCTGCCAGGAAGGGTAGCCCTGGGAAACTCGGAGCTGTCTCAGGACATGGGTCCTCGGGTGCCCTGGGCTGCAGTCTCTGAGGATACCACCTGCCAAAGCCAGAGTCACACCAGTGGCTCCAAACCTGAAGGCCGAAGGCCAGGCTACGGGGACATGGGCCTGGCCCTCGACGCTCAGTGGACACCAGGGAACAAGCCTGGGCTGGAAGGGGTCCACAGGCTTACCCCAGGATGGTCCGCCCACGGTCCCAGGGGTCCATGGGCTTATCCCAGGACGGTCCGCCCACGGTCCCAGGGGTCCATGGGCTTAACCCAGGACGGTCCACCTACGGTCCCAGGGGTCCATGGGCTCACCCCAGGATGGTCCGCCCACGGTCCCAAGGGTCCATGGGCTTATCCCAGGACGGTCCGCCCACAGTCCCAGGGGTCCATGGGCTTACCCCAGGACAGTCCGCCCACCGTCCCAGGGGTCCATGGGCTTAACCATGATTGCTTTCCCATGGTACCAAGACAGGGTACAACACAGCATTGTCCCCCTTTGACCCAAGGCACACCCAGGTTCAGGTAGAAGCCAAAGCAAAGCAATCTGAGAATGGACCCACTCACACTTTCTCAGCCCCAAGTCACCATGGCCAGCCTGCACCTGACCTGGCTGCGGGCCTGCAGGGGCCCCAAGAGCCAGCCCTCAACGCTGCTGTGAAGGCAGAACTGTGCAATCCTGCAGGATCTGGGGCCAAGCACGGTCTGTCAAGGCGGGGTGTGTGTGGGGATTTCCGGGGTTGTTTCAGCCGGCAGGAATGAACATGTGAGGCCCAGGGCAGAGCTAGGCCAGGGCGCCCTCTGGCTGGGCCTGCGCCCTGAGGGTCGATGGCAGGAGGGACTCGGGCCTCCTGAAATGCAAAGTGGGACCAAGGATGATTCCCAGTGGGAACCGAGGGCCAGCTTGTCCCCTCAGGGATGAGAGATGAGCTGTGGACTTGGCAAAGCAGCCTAGGCCTAGCCCCGGCCGGGCCCTGCACAGCTGGGGGACTGCTGCTCAGCCCGGAGCCTTACTAGGCAAGTGAGGACTAGAGGGCCCAGCTGGGGCCTGGAGACTACAGGGAGGGGCCACGGGACAGCCCCCCACACAGGCAGCAGTGGCTGTGTGGAGCCAAGAGACAAAACAGGGGCGGGGCTGTGACAGTGCCCCATCTACTTGGGCCCGGCAGGCTCGGCAGGCTCAGCTACAGTCCTGTCACCAACCACAGGAAACTGCCCCAGGCGCAGAGCCAGACAAAGCCAGCATGGAAGGCCTCCATACCCGGCAGCCCTCACACGAACTCACAGGCCAGCTGAGGCCCAGAGAGGGCAGGGGGTGCCCACCAGCACGGGGTCACTTGGCATTGCTGGTGACAGTGCTGGGGTGGCCTGTCTTCCTCACAGGCAGAGCTAGAAGCCACATGTGCTGGGGCAGGGACCGCCCAATGGGGTTGTGGGGGAGGGCCCCTCCTCCCCTTCTTTCCCAGCATGGGAACTAAGGGAGGGACAGGAAAGAACACGTGCCTCCCGCTGGGAAACGCTAAGGCGGGGAGACAGGGTGCGAAGAGCTCCCTGCGGGCTGTCACCGAGCCCCCCCACCAAGGAGGTGTGGGCGTCCCCTGTGCCAACCTGTGCAGACACCAGCCCTCCCTCCTCTCCGCCAGACCTCCTCCCCCTCCTGCGTCCTGGTCCAGGACAAGGCTTGCCATGCTCCACGCTGCTGCAAACACCAAAGCACATACTGAAAGCCAAAAATGCCCCTTGGAACGAATGACCCAGGCCCAGAGGAAGAGGGTGGGGCAGAGGTGGAACAGTGGCAGGGAGACAGAAACGGAGAGGGCCGGAGGCTGGCGGGAACAGGGCAGTTGCCATGTAGAAACGCCCGCCTTCTCCTCTGCCAACACCAAGCACAGTATCTGAAGAAAAAAAAATAGTTTTTGGCTTCTTGGCTGCTGCAGGCCTCCACCACCCTCGCTCCAAACCTGAAGGCCGAAGGCCAGGCTACGGGGACATGGGCCTGGCCCTCGACGCTCAGTGGACACCAGGGAACAAGCCTGGGCTGGAAGGGGTCCACAGGCTTACCCCAGGATGGTCCGCCCACGGTCCCAGGGGTCCATGGGCTTATCCCAGGACGGTCCGCCCACGGTCCCAGGGGTCCATGGGCTTAACCCAGGACGGTCCACCTACGGTCCCAGGGGTCCATGGGCTCACCCCAGGATGGTCCGCCCACGGTCCCAAGGGTCCATGGGCTTATCCCAGGACGGTCCGCCCACAGTCCCAGGGGTCCATGGGCTTACCCCAGGACAGTCCGCCCACCGTCCCAGGGGTCCATGGGCTTAACCATGATTGCTTTCCCATGGTACCAAGACAGGGTACAACACAGCATTGTCCCCCTTTGACCCAAGGCACACCCAGGTTCAGGTAGAAGCCAAAGCAAAGCAATCTGAGAATGGACCCACTCACACTTTCTCAGCCCCAAGTCACCATGGCCAGCCTGCACCTGACCTGGCTGCGGGCCTGCAGGGGCCCCAAGAGCCAGCCCTCAACGCTGCTGTGAAGGCAGAACTGTGCAATCCTGCAGGATCTGGGGCCAAGCACGGTCTGTCAAGGCGGGGTGTGTGTGGGGATTTCCGGGGTTGTTTCAGCCGGCAGGAATGAACATGTGAGGCCCAGGGCAGAGCTAGGCCAGGGCGCCCTCTGGCTGGGCCTGCGCCCTGAGGGTCGATGGCAGGAGGGACTCGGGCCTCCTGAAATGCAAAGTGGGACCAAGGATGATTCCCAGTGGGAACCGAGGGCCAGCTTGTCCCCTCAGGGATGAGAGATGAGCTGTGGACTTGGCAAAGCAGCCTAGGCCTAGCCCCGGCCTGGCCCTGCACAGCTGGGGGACTGCTGCTCAGCCCGGAGCCTTACTAGGCAAGTGAGGACTAGAGGGCCCAGCTGGGGCCTGGAGACTACAGGGAGGGGCCACGGGACAGCCCCCCACACAGGCAGCAGTGGCTGTGTGGAGCCAAGAGACAAAACAGGGGCGGGGCTGTGACAGTGCCCCATCTACTTGGGCCCGGCAGGCTCGGCAGGGCCCCCTACACTTCCTGTCGTCACCAACCACAGGAAACTGCCCCAGGCGCAGAGCCAGACAAAGCCAGCATGGAAGGCCTCCAGACCAGGCAGCCCAGGCCTCTGGGCCCTGCCTCACAGGCCCTGCCTCACAGTGCCCTCACACTAACTCACAGGCCAGCTGAGGCCCAGAGAGGGCAGGGGGTGCCCACCAGCACGGGGTCACGTGGCCTTTTGCTGGTGACAGTGCTGGGGTGGCCTGTCTTCCTCACAGGCAGAGCTAGAAGCCACGTGTGCTGGGGCAGGGACCGCCCAATGGGGTTGTGGGGGAGGGCCCCTCCTCCCCTTCTTTCCCAGCATGGGAACTAAGGGAGGGACAGGAAAGAACACGTGCCTCCCGCTGGGAAACGCTAAGGCGGGGAGACAGGGTGCGAAGAGCTCCCTGCGGGCTGTCACCGAGCCCCCCCACCAAGGAGGTGTGGGCGTCCCCTGTGCCAACCTGTGCAGACACCAGCCCTCCCTCCTCTCCGCCAGACCTCCTCCCCCTCCTGCGTCCTGGTCCAGGACAAGGCTTGCCATGCTCCACGCTGCTGCAAACACCAAAGCACATACTGAAAGCCAAAAATGCCCCTTGGAACGAATGACCCAGGCCCAGAGGAAGAGGGTGGGGCAGAGGTGGAACAGTGGCAGGGAGACAGAAACGGAGAGGGCCGGAGGCTGGCGGGAACAGGGCAGTTGCCATGTAGAAACGCCCGCCTTCTCCTCTGCCAACACCAAGCACAGTATCTGAAGAAAAAAAAATAGTTTTTGGCTTCTTGGCTGCTGCAGGCCCCCATCCTCCGAGCCGGTGGGCAGGTGGGTGAGGACGTGCACATGTGAGGGTAGGCCCGGCATCCCTGGGAGCTTTGGACACACAAGGCAGCAGCAATGGTTAACAACCAATAAATAAAAGGTACCAATTATATATGTGTATATATATAAAAAAAACTCACTTTCCCCACAAAAAGCACAACACTGTTATCACAAAAACTCCCTCTTCCTCCTCCTCTTCACGGACCATCCTAGCCACCCGGGTGGCTTTGCTGCTAAAGGGTGGGGCCAGGATGGTAGGCAGGTGGCCCCCGACCGGGCAGCCCTGGTCCACCATGGCCTCTCCCGCTGCAGGGACCAGGCTGGGGCAGAGTTCTCCGAGGTCCCCGAGCCTTCTCCCATCTGTCAGTCCGTACCTTCTAGGACAGAAGGTAGTGTTCTGTTTTGTTTTGTTTCTTTTAAAATGTCTGTTTGAAATAAAAACCAAAAGCACACGCGCAAGGAGCAGGAGGAACCCAGAGGCTGCGAAGCAGCCGAGTCCTCAGTGGCGTGGCGGGCAAGAGCCTTTTCCGTTTCGTTTGCCGCGTTCCGGACAAGCAGAGGTTGTTGGCAATTGGAGCCGGTGGCTTCAGGCGGCAGGTGGGTGCAGGGCCAGGGGAGGAGAGCCGGGCCCTGGGTTCAAGGGCAGCCGGCTGTGTGTGGAAGCAGAGGAGGGCTGGGTGGACACGAGGGTGGGCAGGGCTGAGGTGGCCTCATGGCACAGGAGGAGGCAGGCGGTCCCCAGGCATCTGGAAGACACAAGGAGATGGCGGGTAAGAGCCGGCGGCCAGGGACGGGCACGCAGAGCTGGCGGGAAGGGCAGCTAGAGGGCAGGATGGCACTGTCGGAGGCCCCCGCGTGCATAACCTCTGTGCAGCCGTCAGGTTCTTTGAGCTACCCCTAAGAGATAAGATGTCCTCCCCAGCATCATCTGTAATAGCAGAAACAGAAAGCAAACCAGAGTGGGGCCACCTAAGTGGCCAAGGCCAGGGGTTGGGCTGGGTACGTTAGAACACCCAGTGGACAGAGTGCACCAGCTCCAGAAGCCGTGCATGGGATGGCCAGTGAGCACAAGAAAAGACGCTTAACATGAGTGATTTAAGGAGGAGGGCTACCAGCGGAGAAAAGGAGAATGAAGTGTCAGTGAGAAGGGGGGACAGGCCCCTTGTCCACGGCTGTAGGAATGGAAATTGGGCAGCTGTTGTAGAAAAGTTTGGTGGCTCCTTAAGAAGTTAAGCAGAATTGGGACCAGCAGATGGCGTAATGGTTACATTGCTAGACTCCCATGTAGTTGACCACGATTCGAGTCCCAGACCTGGCAGCTTGATACTCTCACTAGGCACATGTGCGTGCGTGCCCAAAATCCCGAGAGGAGAATGGAGAAGGGACTGTGGCACGACCATCCACCCTGGGAGGTGATTTCTCACTACCTTTCTGTCTCTCTCTGCCTCTCCAGCAAGCACATGCACCCTACGGCAAAAATGTCTAAAAAAAAAAGAAGTTAAGAATTATCATATGACCCAGAAATTCCACTGTGAGGCATACACACCCAAAAGATAGATCCTCGGGAAGCACGTCCCGTCGCAACAGCCCTCACAGAAGGGCTGGAGATGACAACAGCCCAGACCACTGCCAACGGATGGGGAAAACGCAACGTGGAGGCCGCCCAGGGGCCCGTCCTGTCCCAGTTGGAGAGGAAGGAATGGCGCACGGCAGGCACAGGTGAGCCGGCAGTGTGCTGAGGGAGAGGCCGGACACCCGAGGCCACGTGCCACATAATTCCACTTTGCAAACACGCGAAATGGGCAAATTCAGGCAGAGCAGACCACGGCCAGGGGCGTGAGGATGGAGGAGGGGCGTGGGCAGAAACAGCTTATTGGGCTTTCCTTTGAAGTATGCAAGTGTGCAGCCACGGGCGAGCCCAGCACCTTAACCCCTGCGCACCTGTGGGCCCCAACAGCGATTGTTTAAGAAAAGCCCACTGAGCCAGCCAGCGGCATGGTGGTTAAGGCAGCTGGATCCCATGGGGCCGACTGTGTAGTTCGAGTTCCAGACTCGGCGGCCTGAAAAACGCCAGATTTGGGTGTGCATGGCCAAAGTCCCAGGAGGGGAGGAGAGGAGAAGGGATTATGGCATGGTTATCCTCCCGGGGAGGTAATGTCTCACTCCACCCCACCCCCACCCCAGCCCCAAGCACGCATGCCCTCTAGCAAAACAAACAAACACAAAAAAGTGCATGGGGAGGGCAGCCAATGGCGTGATAGTTAAGGTGGCTGGATCGCACATGGCCGATTGCATGGTTCAAATCCCGGACCCAGTGACTTAAAAGACACACTGGGTGCGTGGGCATGTGTGCCCAGAATCCCAAGAAGAGAGTAGAGGAGAAGGGATTGCAGCATGGCCATCCCCCCAAGGGGTGATTTTTCACTTCCCCTCTTTCACTCTCTCCCGATGTGCACTCTCTCTCTCCCAGGTGCATGCATACTCCCCCCACCCTCCCCGGTGCGCACACACTCTCTCCCCCCTCCCTATGCGTGCACAATCTCTCTCCCCGGAGCACACGTTCTCTCTCTCCCCAATGTGCACACTCTCTCCCCCCCGGGCGCACGCACTCTCTCCCTGGTGTGCACACTCTCTCTCCCCGATGTGCACACATTCTCTATAGCAAAAACTACAAAGAAACAAAACACGAATGTTTGGTAAAAGCACGCAGGGAGCAGGCATGTCTGCTACTGCTGCACCCACAGAACTTCCCCGTGACTGGCTCTGGTTCAATGTCTGACCCCAGGCCCCTGCTCCCCGACTGGACAGGGTAGGCGTCCGTCCAGGGGGATGTTGTCCTGCTTTTGTGAGATGATTGGAAAATTCTCTGGGTCAATCAGGTTCCTCCCTTAGGAATCAGAACTAGGAACGGGAAGGTGTTGGGTAGTGGCCCTGGAAGGAAGTGGGAAGGCCCTGCAGGACAGTCGGCAGCCACCGTGGTCCAGACAGAAAGGGAAGGAACAGAGAGGTTCAGGGGAGAGGGGACAACAGAGCAGGTGCCCAAAGCCAGAGCACCCCAAGGAAGCCTGGGTCCTACCAGAGGGGCCATGTCCACTCAGCCTTACAACTCACAGCACTACGATAGCCTGAGACTGCACTGCTGACTTAACCCGTAAGTGCGAAATAATATTTAAAAAATAAACAATCTGGGGTAAAATCTGATAAATAAAGAGAACGAATCAAGCATCTAACCTATCTTTTATATTAAAAATGAGGCCTCAGAGGCGGCCTGTTCCACTGTGCACAGGAAGCTGGGTCCCTCATGGCCAGCCGGGGTTCGAATCCTGTCCCCAGTGACAAATGCTGGGCGTGCCCAGAATCCTGGTGGGCTGCAGAACGGGAGGCATGACCAGGCCCCACTGCGCAGTGCTTTCTCTTTCTCTCCCTCTCTGTCTCTCTCTCACTCTGCATGCAGGCTCGATCATGACTAATGGAAATTTAAAAAAATTAAATTCCACTAAAAAAGAAAATGAGGCCTTGGGGTGACCACATGGTCAATGAGGGAAAGTTCTCTTTAGAATTAATCCAGCTAACAGACGGAGAAGGAGAGGCGCAGGAGACAACGATGTCGCCGTCTGCACCAGCCGAGGAAGGAGGGGCCTGAACCGCCGGGGTCCAGCCTCGGCGTGGGTGGGTTATCTCAAAGGAGATAACTGAACGACACTGGCCGGCTCCCGGGGGGCCCCCCACGGAACGCTCAGGGACCTTCTCACCAGAGGGGGCCAGACCGAATCCCCACCAGCCTGCAGACCTCACTGCCCATCCTCCGGGAGAACGGGCAACGGTGCACGCAGCACCACGCGGAGCAGTCGGCAAACCCCAGGCTGGGGCTCCGCAGTGTTCATTAACCAGCAGCCAGGAGAGGAGGGGAGACCTAGGGATCGAGATAAATGTGAGGGTGCTTGACCGCTGCAGCGTGTGGACGCTACTCAGAGCCTGATTCCCATGAACAGAGTGAAGGAAATGGTGAGAGAACAGGGAACCAGGAGAGCAACCGAAGATTAGAGGGTGTTAAGAAATTATCCATTTAGGGCAGCAGGTGGCATGGTTGTTAAGGCATCTGACTCCCACATGGCCAACTGCAGTTCGAATCCCAGACTCAGTGGCTTGAGAACTATGCCGAGCACATGTGCACGTGCGGCCAAAATCTCGAGAGGAGAATGGAGGAGGAACTGCAGCATGACCAACCCCTCGAAAGGCTGATTTCTCACTTCTTCTCACTATCTCTTTCTGTCTCTCTCCAGTGAGTGCATGCACACTAAGGCAAAAACCTTAAGAAAGAAAGAAAGAAAGACCAATTTTTTGGTTTCATGACTTTTTTTTCTTTTATAGAAAGTTATTTATTTATTTTTATTTATTTATTCATTTATTTTAATTTGACCAGAGAGGGACAGAGTGAGAGAGAGAGAGAGAGAGAAAGCAAGCCTCCTGGTCCGGGACTCGAACTGCAGTCGGCCACGTGGGAGTGCAGCACCCTTAACCACCACGCCACCTGCTGGCCACATTTTCATGAATTTTAAAAAATCTTGCTAGAGGGCACATGTGTTCACCAGAGAGAGATAGAAAGATAGAGAAAACACTCCCCGAAGGGGTGTGGGCATAGTCAGACCACAATCCCTTCTCCTTCTCTCCCTCCTCTTGGGATTTTAGCACACACATTCTAGCCTGTTTCCCCAGCTGCCAGGCCCAGGACTCAAACTGTGGGGCCAGCCACATGGGATCCAGTTGCCTGAAGTACCAGGCTTCAAAGCTGGCTTGGTCTTATGGATTTTGCTTTATGGAGTCTTAAAGAGTCTTTTTTTTTTAAAAGACTCTTTATCTTTTAGAAATACATTTGTAAAATATTTATGTATAAAATGATAGGATGTCTTAGATTTGCTTCAGAATAACCCAGAGTGGAGGTGAGGGGAGGGTGTGGATCTCGTAAGACTGGCAGTGAGCCGGTGGTTGTGGGCTTGGGCGGTGGGTACGTGGAGTGACACTCTTGTCTACCGACGTGTGTGAATGTCCCCACAGAACATCGTTTTCGTCATCTCTTCTCCAAATTTCCTAAGAGTCCCGCACCACGAGACAGGTTAAATAACGGCATGACGTTATGGAGTACTAGGCAGCTGTGAAAAACGACGGTTTCAAACCACAGTTAGTGTGGAAAACAAGCGTGTCTCTCTCCCTGAACAGGTCAATGGTTATGTCACAGTGATCGGCCTAAGGGCTACAACACATCAGGAACCTGAAGAAGCAAACAGATCTCAGAAATGGCAGAACACAAACTGGGTATAATTACTGCGGGGTAGGCTCTAGGAAAAGCTGTGGAGAAGAAGGAAGGCGACTTCCTCAAAGAGCTAAAGAGAGACGGATTGTGTCAAGTGAGGGTCCCTGGCACTCGGCGAAGCACACCCTGGAAACAACGCGACGTGGCCACTTGCACGGGGGAACGTGAGACTAAGACGTGGGTCAGCGTTCGCCACGGCCCCAGAGCTGCATATCGAGCATTGCTAACACGGAACAGCTGCGAGCGCTCCTTCACCAACTGCCTTTAATCACACGTTCCTATGCGACCCAGTTACTGGGTATTGAGTTTCCTACGTGTTCAATTCTTTTTACATGACTCTGGTCATTAAACATGTACTAAGATTATATCTGGGTCATATATGAGGATGTTTAAAGTAAATATTTTTAACGAGGTTTTCTTTTTATTTAATTTAATTAATTAATTAATTTTATGTTTTTTCCCCCCCATAGGGTGCATGTGCTTGCTGAAGAGACAGTGAAAGAGAAGGTGAGAAATCACCCCTGAGGGAGGATGGCCATGCCTCAGTTCCTTCTCCATTCTCCTCCTGGGATTTTGGACATGCATGCACACATGCCCAGTGTGATTTTCTAAGACTCAGGTCTAGGACTCAAACCATGGATGACAATGTGGGAGTCCAGAGCCTTAACAGTATACCACCTGCTGGCCCGAGGTTTTCTTTTTTCTTTTTTTTTTTTTGGAGAGATTTTCATTGTAGGGCGCGTGCGCTCGCCAGACAGACAGAGAGAGACATAGAGACAGAAAGCGAGAAATCACCCCCCAGGGGGGATGGTCACGCCGCAATCCCTTCTCCTCCATTCTCCTCTCGGGATCTTGGGCACGCATGCACACGCGCCCGGCGTGAGTTTTAAGCCACTGGGTCCGGGACACGAACTGCGGTCGACTACGTGGGAGTCCAGCGACATAGCCATTACGCTAACTGCTGGTTCCCAGGTTTTCTTTTTAAACATATTTTCTAATGTCTTTTCAAGGCAGAGAGAGGAGAAGAGGGCAAGTACCCAGAGGGAGACCAGAGCAGCCTGAGGGGAGAGCCTGGCCCCTGACAGGGTCTGTGTCCACTCAGCCATCCAGGTCACAGCACTGCAATGGCCCTGGAGCTGCACTACCATAAATTCATAATGATTTTTTTTTTTGAGAGATTTTTCACTGTAGGGCGCATGCACTCGCCAGACAGACAGAGAGAGACATAGAGACAGAAAGCGAGAAATCACCCCCCAGGGGGGATGGTCACGCCGCAATCCCTTCTCCTCCATTCTCCTCTCGGGATCTTGGGCACGCACGCACACGCGCCCGGCGTGAGTTTTTTAAGCCACCGGGTCCGGGACACGAACCACGGTCGACTACGTGGGAGTCCAGCGACATAGCCATTATGCTAACTGCTGGTTCCTCATAATGATTTTTTTAAAAGAGACAGAGAGGGGACCAGCAGCTAGCGTAATAGCTATGTCGCTGAACTCCCGTGTAGTCGATTGTGGTTAAACTCATGCCGGCGCATGTGCATGCATGCCCAAGATCCCGAGAGGAGAATGGAGGAGAAGGGATTACGGCATGGCGATTCCCCCTGGAGGGTGATTTCTTGCTTCCTATCTCTCTCTGTCTTTCTGGCGAGTGCATGCACCCTATAGCAAAGACCTCTAAAAAAAGAGAGAGAGACAGGAAGAACTTGATTGGCCACCTCTAGAGGAAGCCAGAAAACCAACTTGTTTAGAAAGCTCAGAAAGGGAAGGAATCAAGCACCCGTCTTGGATTTCTTGTGTAAAATAATAATAGTGATAGAAGCCTGGAAACAGTGTACGCCTCCAAAACAAATGTATCTGCAAATTGAATCTGACGAAAGATAGAAAGGTTAACTCACCACAGCTAAATGGAGTTCATTCTAAAAATACAAGGTGGCTTAGCATTCAAAAATTAGTTTGTGTAACTCATCATAATAACAAAAAAGAAGAAAGTTATATGAGCATCCTGATAGATGCAGAGAGAACATTTAGTGAAATTCAAAACCATTCCAAAGAAGGCAACTTCCTGAATCCATCCGTGGAAGTCTACCTTCCAAACACCACAGGAAACATCACAACTGTGGTAAATTGTTGAAAGCTCTGCCCCAGGTGGAGCGAGAGAAGATGCCCACTACCCTTCTCTGCGGCATCACCCCGGTGCTGATCCAGTACAAGGAGAAAAAGACAGCAGGCACAGAGCAGGAGAGAAGGGAAAGAAAAAGAGGTGGACAATCTACAAAATTCCAAAGCAAACATCCAGATTGAAAAAATGAACTAGCAGGGCCATGAATATATGATCGATAAAGAAAAACCAAATTTCTATAAACCAGAAAGAGAAAATACAATTTAAAAATGACTATTTATGACACCAAAAAAAAAAAACATCAGATCTCTCAAAAGCTATAACCGACCTTTGGGCTAGAAACAATACAATGTTATAGAGAAAAAAATGTAAAGACCTAAACAAACAGAGGGATGTACCATTTTCATGGATTGTAGGTCTTGATATTATAAAGATGCTAAGACTCTCCAGATTGGCCACAGATTCGATGCAGTTCCAGTCAATGTGTGTGTGTGCGTGTGTGTGTAGAAACTTATAAGCTGATTCTAAAATTTATATAGAAATGCAAATAACCAAAAGTAGTCAAGGTTTCTTGAAAAAATGGTGAGATATCATTTCCAAGATTATGATATAAAAAGACAGGCTAGGACCAGCAGATGGCATAATGGTTATGTTACTGGACTCCCATGTAGTTGCGTGTGGTTCAAGTTCCAGACCTGGTGGCTTAAAACGCACAGTGGATGCATGTGGATGCATGCCCAAAATCCCAAGAGGAGAATGGAGGAGAAGAGACTGCAGTGTGGCCATCCTCCTGGGGGATGATTTCTCACTTTCTGTCTCTCTGTTTCTATTTTCATCTTGGTCCCTTTCTTTCCATCCCACTTGAAAAGCACACACTGAGGGAAGCCCATAGCCATGTTGTAAAGAAGCCGAGTCTGGGGAACCAGCAGTTAGTGTAATGGCTATGTCGCTGGACTCCCACATAGTCGACCGCGGTTCGTGTCCCGGACCCGGTGGCTTAAAACTCATGCCGGGCGCGTGTGCGTGTGTGCCCAAGATCCCGAGAGGAGAATGGAGGAGAAGGGGTTGCGGCGTGACCATCCCCCCTGGGGGGTGATTTCTCGCTTTCTGTCTCTATGTCTCTCACGCGCCCTACAGTGAAAATCTCTCCAAAAAAAAAAAGAAGCCGAGTCTGCATGGCGAGGGATCAAGAGTGAGCCTGGAAGGGGATCCCCCAACCAAACCTTCAGATGAGACTGCAGCTCTGGTCAACACTGATGGTCAATTCTTGGGTTGTCTGGGAATGAGGAGTTTTCCAGCACATGAGAAATTCTCTCTTAAAGAGGAAATAAATGAATAAACTTTAAAAAAAATATGTTTGTGGCTGGGGGGGGGCCTCACTCGCCATATCCCCTGCCAATGTAGAGGGCGCCACAGGGAAGAGGCAGGAAAAGAGGTGAGAGGGGACAGGAAGAAAAAAGGAAAACCGTTCTCCGCTCCTGTGGGGACACGCTATCATTCCACACGGACGACAATCCAACTGGACTAGAAGAGAAACGGCATTTGAACTATTGACAAGAGAGCCAGGCGCTCAGGTCTTCAGCTGCTTGCCCAGAGAGAAGATGAGAAATCCCTGCACCCAGGTCCCTGGCCCTGTTTGAGAGTGGTGGTTTTGTTTTTTTTTTTAACCTGGGGAAACTTCTATTCAAGCAAACTCACAGGCCACTATATAAAAATGGCTAGGAACAACAACGAAAATCGGGCACAGCTGCGGCGACACGTGCTGCTAGGATGCCGTGCCCCGCAGGCTGGGACCACGTGGGGTACCAGGTTCAGTTTCTGGTCCAACCTGACGGACGGCACGAAGGCGTGTGTCTGTGAGCAGCTCAGGAGGCAGAGGCAGGAGGAACCTGAGCTTAAGGCTGGCCTAGACAATGCAGCAAGACCGTTTTACAAAGATCCAGGATGGGGACCAGCAGGTGGCGTGGTAGTTAAGGCATCTGGACACTCCCACATGGCCAACGGTGGTTTGAGACCTGGATCTGGTGGTTTGCTCTCTCACTTTCCCTCCCTCTCTTTGGTCAAATTTAAATAAATGGATGAATAAATAAATTAAATAAATAATTCTTAAAAAAAAAAAAAAGGTCCAGGACGGGCTAGCCAGTGGCGTGGTTGTTAAGGCATCTGGAACCCACGTGGCCAACTTTGCAGTTTGAGTCCCAGTTCAGTGGCTTGAAAACACACCAGGCGTGTATGCATGCACGCCCTGAATCTCAAGAGAATGGAGGAGACGGCATTGTGGTGTGGCCATCCCCCCTCAGGGGCGATCTCTCACCTTCCCTCTCTCTCTGTCCCTGTCTCCTGTGAGCGCATGTGCCCGATGGCAAGCTAAAAAGAAGAGCCAGATGTGGTGGAAGCTGTAGTTCAAGCTAGGGGGCGGAGCAGTAGGACCATGACGCGGGAAGACCCTGTCTGAAAAAGAAACTGGGGCATGTGGCTGGCCCGAAAGTCCCACCTCCTAGGCCTCCCCCCAGCTACACACCCACAGGGTAGACCCCACAGACTCACCTGCCAAGCCTGTGTCCCCTGTCTGGGTTTCACCCTCCCCCTGCCCCAGGCCCCAGGTCCCCTGCACTCACCACAGCTCTGGGCCCTGGACTATACCAGCCCGTCATAGAGGGACAGCGCCTGCACGATGGAGGGGTCTGCCTTGGACCCCTCCTGGAACTCCTGCAGCGTCAGCTTCCCATCGGCATTCTGTAAGCACAGAGAAGCGGCTGAGGGTGGCGAACCACTGGCCTGCTGGGAGAGCAGTCTCTGGCCAAGCCCAGCCCAGGGCTGGTCCCAGGAGAACTTGGCAGGTTAGGACGAGAAGGAGGCAACACAGCTTGGCAGATAGGAGAGTTGGCAGACCTGGGCACTCACGGGCTGGGTGAACTTGGGCCCAAGACACATCTCTCTGGGCCTCATTGCCTCATCTGGGGACTGGGGATAACTGCATCTTCCTTGGGGGGCTGGGGTGAGAGGTCCATGCTCGACTATGACCCCATGACCCCATCCTTATCATCCTCCACTGTTAGTTCCCACAAATGTGCTTAATCCCCAAGGGCCCAGGCCCTCACACATCTCTTGGGTCCCTCCTGGAAGGATATTTAAACCACCTGGACTTCCAAGACCTGCGAGGTGCCGGCGGAGCTCACGCAAAGGCCAGGGCTCAGTAGCGGTCTCCAGCGGAGGGGATGGTCTGGGCCAGGGTCCCTTCCCTGGAGTATATCTAAGGTCACCTCCGAAACCACAAGAGACCACTCACGCAATCTCACGCCCCCAGAACCCACTGCACCATTCTGACTTAAGGGTTGTGCTGGACTCAGGAGAATGCAGGATGGCACAGAGGTCCTGCAGCCCCACCGTGGGGGTGGAATGCCTGTTCCACGCTCAGGAGAGCCACCTCGTGCTCATCACTGAGACCAGCTCAGCCTGAGCCCGGGCCCTTCGCTGCCCCTCCAACAGACGCTAACCTCCCTTTTAAAATTAAAAAGTACAGGCCTCAGGCTCCCGGCTTTTAGGGCAAGCGACTGTATCCAGCCAGAAATCTGTATCCTTTTCGTAGGCAAGCAGTACTAGGTTTTCCTACCAGCCTGACTTCAGATTTCCATTTAAAACAAAGTTATGTTAATTTAAAAAAAAAAAAAAGAGGGAACCAGCAGTTAGCATAATGGCTATGTCGCTGGACTCCGATGTAGTCGACCGTGGTTCGTGTCCCGGACCCGGTGGCTTAAAAAAACTCACGCCGGGCACGTGTGCGTGCGTGCCCAAGATCCCGAGAGGAGAATGGAGGAGAAGGGATTGCGGCGTGACCATCCCCCCTGGGGGGTGATTTCTCGCTTTCTGTCCCTATGTCTCTCTCTGTCTGTCTGGCGAGCGCACGTACCCTACAGTGAAAATCTCTCCAAAAAAAAAAAAAAGAAAGAAAGAAAGAAAGAAAGAAAGAAAGAAAGAAAGAAAGAAAGAAAGAAAGAAAGAAAGAAAGAAAAGAAAAAAATCTGACTTAAAAAGGAGGTCCCTTAACTGGGGTCTGTGGACCTGGATGACAGGACAGCCTTTGTTTTCACTATGCTCTGACACGCCGCTCTTGCCTCAACCATGAGCTTAGGTGACGGTCCCCAGCAAAACCAGCAGGGCCTGTGACTTGTCGCTACAGAGATGGCAGGTGTTTTCCTCACACATCTTGGCTGTCGGGAATATCAGCCTTGAAGTCACGGGGGTTGCTAAGCCCACGCGGCACCGGGTTACTTAACGTGCTAATCAAGAAGCTCAGATGCTACTTCGCGGCAGATGTGTTTTTCATTGCCAGAGGGGTGTGTGCCCCCAGAGACAGCAAGGAGGACGCACCCTCCATGGGCGCGGTCACACGCCGTCGCTTCCTCCATCTCTGCAGGACTCTGCAGCATGCGATGCCCGGCATGGTTCTCGGGCCACTGGGCTGGAATCCAAACCGCACTCAGCCATGTGGGGTCCAGCTCACTTACCCACTGGGCTATGGGCTGACCTATATTTTGTTCCTAAAAAAATACTGTGATAGCTGTCCAAGGGGATCTTCAAATCATTCATGGGAAAATGGAATTAGGGGCAGCTCTGAGGCATAACACTGCTCAAGAGAAGCCAGCTCCCACCTGGTGACCAAGACTCACATCCCGGTCAGCATAAACGCAGGTGTGAGCGCGAGTGTGCGAGACCCGACAGGCTGGAGATGGGAGGAAGGGGACCATGACGTGACCAGCCCTGTGGAGGCTGCTCTCCTTTCTCACTGTCATCCCCAAATAAAGAAACACATTTATTTCCTAATGAAAAAGAACACATTTAAAAGGTGAATTTATTTTGGTGAAAACATTTTTAAGTCCATATGCAGGTTTTTCTATTCTGAAATCCTTAGCTCACTTTTTCATCCTATAGATTGTATTGTATATACCAGAAAGCTTTTTTTTGGAGAGGTTTTTGCTATAGGGCTTGTGCACTTGCCACACAGAGAGAGACAGAGAGACAGAAAGCGAGAAATCACCCCCCGGGGGGATGGCCACACCGTAGTCCCTTCTCCTCCATTCTCCTCTCGGGATCCTGGGCACACATGCACACACCCAGCATGAGTTTAAGCCACCAGATCTGGGACTCAAACTGTGGTCGACTACATGGGAGTCCAGCGACATAGCCATTACGCTAACTGCTGGTCCCAGAAGCCACTAATTTGAGAAGTCTCCAGAATATCAAATCCATAGCACCAAAATAAATAAATAAAAAAATAAAAATAAGGTTAATTAAAGAAAATAGGGCCAGCTAGTGGTGTGGAGGTTAAGGTGGCTAGATCTTACATGGCTGACTGCGCAGTTCAAGTCCTGGGCCCATGGCTTGGAGATGCTGGGCACAGGTGTGTACGCGCCCACTAATTTGAGAAGTCTCCAGAATATCAAATCCATAGCACCAAAATAAATAAATAAAAAAATAAAAATAAGGTTAATTAAAGAAAATAGGGCCAGCTAGTGGTGTGGAGGTTAAGGTGGCTAGATCTTACATGGCTGACTGCGCAGTTCAAGTCCTGGGCCCATGGCTTGGAGATGCTGGGCACAGGTGTGTACGCGCCCAAGATCACAAAAGGAGAATAGAAGAGATGGGATTGGGGGGAGGCCATCCCTGGGGAGTGCTCTCTCATTCTCTCTCTCTCACTCGCTCTTGCTCTCTCTCTGTCTCTCACAGGTGAGTGAATATGCCCAAAAGGAAAAAAATTTGAAAAGAAAGCCAGCCCACCTATCAGGCAGATGTACTTAAAATCTCAGGACGTGTGGCGAGGATGGCTGGCCAGGCGGTGCCACCTGCCTGGAGCCAGTCCCATGTGTGGCGGTGGCAAAGCCGGCCGGGCCCAGGGCCCCCACTCCCTGCCCGCTGTGGCCAGGCCTGCCCCGCAGGGCTCGGAGAAGCCCCACCAGCCTCACCTTGTCCATCATGGCAAAGATCCGGTCCACCCTCTTCTCAGGCGTGTTCTCCTCCTCGGGGAGCTCCACTGTGTTCCCCTGCCAGGGACAAACATGAGCCGGGAACGCTGGGCTTTGGTATCCTGCTAAACACTTGTCCCCAGCCAGAGCTGCCCCAGACAGCCCCCCAACTCCCCATCTCAGCCATTCTCCCTGGAACGTCCTGCCTACCCGGCCCGCCATCTGCCCAGCCCCTGCCTACAGCTCCAGCCCAGGAGAGCCGCTGCACAGGGCTTCATCAGGGCCAGGCCTGGCCACTCACTGTGCTGGCCCTCCTGCCACCCCCTCCGCAGGCCCTGGCCTCTCACCACCATCTGGTAAATGGCGTCCACGATGTCCAGCATCTCGTTCCGGGTGATGTAGCCGTCGTTGTCCAAGTCATAGAGCTTGAAGGCCCCTGCAACCGGCCAGCCGGGCAGTCAGCCTGGGCTGCAGGGCCAGCGCCACCTCCTCCTCTGCACCCAGCGTGGAGTCAGGGGCCCCGTGTCCCTGTTCTCATCAGGTCATGAGTACTTACAGCAGGGCAGACCTCAAGGGACACACACAGACACACCCACACCCACACCCACCACTGCAAGTGGGGTTAATAATAAAAACAATAAAAATCGGGCCAGCCCATGGCCTAGTGGCAAGGGAAGCTGGCCACAGCTGACTGTGCAGCGTGAGTCCCAGTCCGGGTGGCTTGAGAAACACACTGGGCATGTGTGCATGCCCAAAATCCTGAAGGGAGGGAGAGATGGAGAAGGGATGGCGGTGTGACCGTCCCCCATGGGGAGTGCTTCCTTCCTCCTGCCCCCTCTCTCTGGTAAGGCCCCTCTGCAACAATTAAAAAATATACTGGGTCTGTCAGGGCTGGAACTGCATGAGTGACAGAAGCGGAGAATCTGGCCTTTGGTCCTAACGCCACTTCCTGCTGCGCCACCCCAGACTGTCCTCTGCCTCTCCCAGTCCCACTGTGAAGCATCCCATGACGGTCAACATTAGACAGGAATGCGCTGTCACACATCGGAAGGGGAGCTTTGGCAGGAACAAAATTCTCTTTTCTTTCTAAGAAAAGAAGAGGCTGCAGAGTTTGCCTGTTGCTGGGGGGCCATAGTGAATGCTCTCAGTGAGCAGTGGGTTCTAGGCAGGCTGTGCTCCTCTCCCCTACCCAGTTCCTTTCATGCATCCACTGTCCCAGCTGTGTGCCACCATGGCAGGGGCTCACCTCCCCACAGGGCCTCAAGCCTGGGCATTCTTCCCAGAATGCTCCCCTGCGGCTCTCACCACTCCCAGCTCAGCTCCCAAGTAGCAAGGTCAGGTCCTCTCCTGGGGCTCTCACCCTTCTCCCTTGCTTCACTGTGGAGCTGTGGGAGCTCAGGAGTGGCCGGTGTTACCATCCCGAGAGCAGGCGGGGAATGCCTAGCCTCTCCCCGTGCCAACACATGGTCGCACTCAGTGTCTGCTGAACGACTGAGTGAATAAGTGAATGAGTGAAAGCACCAAAGAAGCGGGTCCAGCCCTGGACCTCAGTCTTTTCACACCACCAGGGCTATGCCTGCTTAAATCCCCAGGGGGCTCCTGCCAGCCTCCTGCCCCACCCACCCTGTCTAATGACCTGGCCCATGAGCTCCTGCTGCAAGCCCGCCCCCCACGCCGAAGCTTCCCTGCCTGGAAGGGCAGTGGGTCTGCATCACTCCCTCAGCCGGATCCGTTATTTGGCCATGTCGGACCCACCTGTTGGGGCCACCCCCAGAGACCCTCACAGAGGGCCACCGTTTGCAGTCACTGCCGTGGGTATCTGTCCCCCCCCGCCCCCTGCCTAGAAAGGACCAAGGGCTGCCTCATTCTGGCCTGGGACTAACATCTGCTGCTCAATGGGGCCCAAGGGGACAAGACTTACACCGCAGCTTCTCATCCAGGGTCCCTCTGGAGGTCACTGACAGTGCCTGGATAAACTCAGAGAACTCGATTCGCCCGTCCTGAGGGGAGATAGTGGGCGTGGCCTCGGTCAGCACCACCTCCTGGGCGGGCCAGCCCCTGCCTGTATGAAGGGCAGCAGTAGATGCCGGCCACCCCTAGCCAATGCACTCCACCCTAGCCAAAGCACTCA